TATGGTGACTATAGTAGTCAGGCACCAGCGTGGGGGAAGGATGGGAAGTAGCCATGAAGAGGACTGTGTGTCCATGCGGGTGTGTGTCTGTGTCTAAGTGTGTGTGCATGCACGCATGCACACATACACATGTCCACCCTGAGTGGGGAGGGGAGAAGGCAGGGAGGACACAAAAGCCAAAAGGGAGAGAAGGAGGGAGGGAAGGGACAGAAGAGGGGACCAGAAGACGGAAGGGGAGGCAGGAGAAGACACGGGGATAAGGGAGGTGAAATGTGGATGGGGTGTGAGAGATGCAAGGGGTGAGGGGGCACAGAGGTTATTGCAGGGGAGGCCAGAAGAAGGGAAAGGCATGGGGTAAAAGCTGGGAGGGGTGTGTGGTAGAGGTGGGTGATGAGGGGAGCGGGGTGGGATGGCAGATGGGGTAACTGTTGGGAGAAGTGGGGGGTTGGAGGAGTGTAGGGGTGAGCATTAGCAAGTGAGGTGTGGGGCGTGGTTTGGGAAGGGTCTAGGGCGATCTTCTAAGAGATCACAAAGGTTGTGGGGCCACTGGAATGTGGATGGGTTTGCTGGGTGTGGGCTAAAATTTGCGAAGACTATGGGGGGTGGGGGTGGGTCAGGATGGGGGTGAGGTGGTCTGGAGAGGTGTGGGCAGCATGAGGTCACTTTCCCCCTCCCACGTTTAATCCACTGTATCCTTGGCTGATCTATACACATTGCCTCTTCTCTGTCCCCATCTCTTCCCAGAAGCCCAATGCTCACATTCTTGGGCAATGAGCTTCTGTGGATTTAGAGGCTCCTCCCCAGGGGAGACTTTGCCATCGTTCCCAGGAGGCCACGTCTTGACTGCCTCCCCCTTCCTCCCACCCCCCACCCCCGCCCCAGCCCCAGCATGGACCAGGGCACCCTCTTTGCCCGTGAGAACCCTGGGTCGGGGAGGCCGACTGTCGGCCTCTACTCCCGGCCTGCGAGCTTGGGTGACAACAGGCACCACTGCCAACTTAGAGCATGTGCCCTCTGCCCAGTGACCTGAGCTCCCTGCTCTCAGCATCAGTGTTAGCCCAGGAGTCCAGCTTGGCAGGAAAGCTGTGGCAGGTGGGAGGAGAAAGGAAGGCAGTGAGGCAGAAACAGCTGCTAGCCGGAGTGGAGGCAGAGCAAGGCCCCAGCGGGTACGGGCGGAAGGCGAGCCGCTGGCCCCGGCAGTCCCCACTCCTCTGTGTGGAGTGTCAGGCCCCCCCGCCAGCCGTTCCCATCCAATGCCACCGTTCAGGGAGCAGGCTCGGCTCTCGGGCCTAAACCCTGCGCTGAAACAGACCTCAGAGGTCACCTGTCCAACTCCTCCCATAACCTGGAGTTAGAGTCGTCTCCACGGCATTTCCTCCAAGGGGCTGCCCGAGTCAGGCCAGCCGTTGGCCAGGATCGGGAGCTCACTTCCTCCTAGGGTAGTCTGTTCCCTCTTTGGAAGGAAAAAAGCTGCTAACTGAGCCACTCCGATGTGCCAGGCCGAGGTACTGTGCAGACTTGTCATTATTCATGACCTCACAGGGCTGTTATGATGAATTAGCTCCAGTTTACAGATGAGAAAAGTGAGGCTCAGAGAGTTGAAGTCTCTAGCTCAAGGTCACATGGGGGGGTGCGGAATAGATAAAAGAGCTGGGTCTGACCCCAGGACTTTCGAACTACGAAGTCCATATGGGGCTCAGCAGGACATGCTTCTTCTGCACCATGACAACTCTTCTGGGGTTTGAAGTCAGAGACCACATCCTCCTGAGTCTCCTCTTCTCCAGGCGAAACAGCTCCTTCAGCTCTGTCCAGGAGAACCTGGGTTCCAGCCTCCTCGCCACCTGCTCAGTGTGAGAGCCAGAATGGAACGCACAGTCTGCCAGGTGGGTTCGGGCCTGTCCAGAGCAGAGTAGAACTGTCACATCCTTCCTTGGCACCAACCTTTACTTCTGTGGCCCTATGGCCGGTAAGAGAGTGAACTGTCCTTCTCTTGGGCTTCTAGCCCTTCTTGGATCAGAACTATGAGAGAAGAAGCCAGGGTTTTGTTTTCATTTCCACCACTCCCCGTAGTCACACTGTCCTAAATTTTGAGTCAGAGAGGGGCAGAGGTGGGGGAAGAGGGGATGGGAACCAGGCAGGGGCACAGCAAGGCTGGGAGGATGGAGGGCTGTGTGTGTGTTGGGGGGGAGGGTGAGGTGGCTGTCGGGCAGGGCTGGGAAGGAGGGCCAAGGGGAAGGGGAGGTGAGGGTTTCGGGGCTGTCGGGGCCCGGGCCCGGGTGGAGCTCTGGCCTGGGGGTGGGAGAGGCCAGGGTGGAGATGGGCATGGGCCTGCCTAAGTTAACATCCCCTGCCGTGTGAGAGGAAGTCAGTCGCACATTAAGGAAATGTTGCAGCTGGTACTAATTTGGGAGGTGTCACAAGCAGCAGTGAGGACAGGTATGATTCGTGGGGCCCTGCATGGCCCAAAACAGGGGCAGGCACTGCCAAGGGAGAGAACAGGGTTTCTGGAGCTGCCCAGGACCGATCTGACTGAGACACTCAGGACAGGGCCCCAGGGATGGGGGTCACCTGGGCCTGGAGCAGAGCCTCCAAGCTTGGTTTCCAGAAGTCAGAGGAAGCCTCCTCATCCTGGCCTGGGCTATGGGCTCTCCACCCGGGGAGAAGCTTTGGGGATGAGGCGTCATCTGCAAGGGATCCCATCTGGGGGAGAGGCTAGACAGGAGAAGGCTTGGAGCCTGGGGACAGGCATGGGAATGGGCAAAAAGGACTGGGATAGAGGTGGAGTGGTGGGGTGAAGGGGGAGGGGCTGCAGGTAGGAGCAGAGCAGGGCTGCCTTGTCCCTCGGTGCCCATAATACGGCTGGGATCCAGAGTCCTGTGGGTCTAGGCCTCAGCTGAGGGAGTGAGCGCTGGAGAGGAGAGGGAGACCCCCCAGGAGGAGGCAGGCACTGGCCTCCTCCCAGCACGGGCAGCAAGAGAGCAGGCGGAGTTGACTTGAGAGGGAGAGCAAGAGAGCGACAGCGACAGTGGCAAGGAGACAAAGGAGAGCAGGGAGGGCCCTGGCCAGGGGGGGACTTGATGGGAGGCTATGGCAAAAGCATGCCTCCGCTCCTTGGCAGAACATGCAGGCTGGAGGCCTGGCACTCCTGCTTGTCAGCTAAGCAGCCTCAGGGCAAACGGCTTGATCCCCCTCCCTGCACCTCAGTTTCCTCATCTGTAAAATGGGGATAACGGTGCTGGTATTGCCATCCTCCCTGGGCAGTTGTGATCTCGAAAGATCTGTGAGAGAGGTTAAGACCCTAAGCATAACGTCAATGTCCGGTGTCATATTATTACTGCAAAACGCTATCAGCTATCTCTTCCCACTGAAGTCTCACAGAAGCCTCAGGATGTGGGCAGAGCAAGGATCATGGGTCCCGTGTTAGAAATGAGGAAACGGAAGCTTAGGGAAGTGAAGTGACGCGCCCAAGGTCACACTGCTAACAAGTGGTAGAGGTGATGAGGCCTCCTGCATCCAAGACATCAGTTGGCTTTCTCCTCCATCAAAGTGCTTGGTGAAAATAATTAATACGGGGTGTTATTATTTAGTGTGGGACCAGACAGAGCTTGGGGCCAGCCACAACGTGGGAAAAGAAACCCACGGGCAAGTTGTGGTGTGGTCTCTCAGTCATTCTGGTGGCCGAAGGGCAGGAAAATGACTGGGGCCGCGGGACTGGAAGAAGGGCCACAGAGAGAGACATCCTTTATTCTCTCTGCTGTGGACCACATCCCTCTGCTCTCCCTGAGTGTGTATCTGTGACTGACATCGAGGGTGTGTGTGGGTCTCTCTCTATGACAAAATGTGTCCTTCTTCATGTGACAGTTCTTCCGCCTGCCTGTGTGTCTCTGGCATCGTAGGGAGATAGGCGTGTGTGCGACAGGGTGTCTGCCTCGCTGGCACTGTTTGTGCGTGTGACGACCTCTCTCCATCTCTGCATGACTTTGCCTGGGGTGGTGGTGGTGCTGTATGGCAGTGTGTGTTTGTCTATCTGTCTGTACACCTTTAAGAAGTGGAATATCTCATTTGGTAGTGTGAGTGAGGCAGTGAGTCAGCTGAGGCTGAGGGAGGCGGGAGGGAGACTGCTAGGTTACGAGAACAGGAAAAAGGAGAATGAGAAAGTGAAGTCAGGAGCAAGGAGCTACCCCTTTCCTCCCCAATCCCCTGCCCAAATTCTTAAGGAGCCCACCAAGAGCGTGGCACCCTGAAGAAGTCCATAGGGGGCACGTTCGTTGGAAAGGGGCACTTGCTGCCCCTCCCCAAGGCCTCAGAGGGAGACAAGCTAGGATAGGAGTCACTGTCTCCCTCTCCAGCTCTCAGCCCCCCTGGCTCCAGGGTGAGGGAGGCCACCACCCCACCTGGCCTCCTCCTCACGTGACCCTTTGACCTTGCTAGTCTCTTTTCTCCCAACAGCAGGCCACCTGGCCAAGCTGAGCAAACAGAGCAGTGGCACCACATCCCAAATGTTTACAGCAGCCATGCACCTATTGTCCAGAATGACCCTGCCGAGGGTCAAGAAGTTTCTCCATACCCGGCTCTGCCCTAGGCAGGCCCGTTCTGCTGTGGCCTCCCCTCTCCTCTGGATGCCTGTCCCCGGCAGCCAGACAGCCAGCTTTCCCTCCACTGCTACCCCAGTGTGCTGGGAAGGCACTGGGAGTTTTGTAATGCAGCAACCCCCAGTGGCCCTCCCACGAGCCGCTTTGCCCTGTCCCCCAACTCCTTTTATCAGGGAAGAGGGGCTGGTTCCCTCCTTGGGAGAAGACAGGCATCCCTGGGCTCCACCTCAGGTCATATAAGGTCAATAGAGCCGAGTGCCCCATCAGCAGGAATGCCTCTCCTCTCACCCACTGGCAGGGGCCAAAGGGTGAGGGTTAGGTTGCCAAGTATTTTTCCTTCCCCCTCTGGCCTTCCGCCGGCACCAGTCAGTCCCAGGACTTTCAATGCCGGCTCCGGAAAGGAAGGGGTCACCGCTGGCTGAGGATGGAGACTTGGGGTTTGCCAGATCCCTCTTTCCACCCCTTTGTCCGTGACCCCTCCCTCCTCATGCGGGGGCGGGGCACCAGGAAGCCCCAGTCCGAAGGTGCCCAAACCCCGGATTAATAGAAGTTGGCCGGGTGGTTAACTGACCTGAATCCCTGCGGCACCCCTCTCTGGGGGAGGGTCCCAAGGTAGCACTCCTAGTGCCCTACCGTGAACGGTGGGGGTGATGGGAGGAGGTGAGGTGGATAGAGGGAGGCAGACCTCCTTTTCTCTCCGGGTCCCACCGCCACCGCTCCCGCCGCCGCCGAGGGAGGTATTGTGCCCGCGGACGCCAGTCCCTACCTTACAGCCTTTCGTGCAGGACCGGATTGAGTACTCTTCTGCCTGTAAGTATTTATGCAGCACGAGGTCGAACTCGTCATATTTTTCCTGAGCATGTCGGTCGAGCCGCTGGTACGCCTCGATACAGTTGCTACACACCTCCCAGGCCCCGGAGCCCGGGCTGGCCACCACGGCCAGCAGGTCCCCCAGCAGGGTGTCCAGGCTGCAGTCCAGGCTGTCGGGGCGGTCCATGCCCAGCAGCAAGTCCCAGACCGTGTAGGTGTCGCAAAAGGAGAGAGTGAAGTTCCGAAAGTGGCCTTTGAGCAAGTTTTTTTTGGCGGAGGGGAACTCGGCCGGGGCACGAGAAGGGGAGTCAGGGGGCCGCAGTGGGGGGGCTGGGGTAGTCGGTTCAAAAAGTCTCTGCAAAGATTGCAATTTGGTGCAAGCTGCGTCCAGCCCCGTGGGCTCTGGGACGCCACCGCAATCCGGCCTGGGACCGGCAGCGGGGGCGGCTTTGGTCAGGTTGCTGTATTGGGGGCCGCAGGTGCCCGGGGGCGCGCTGGGCTCGCCGGGCGGCGGCGGCGGCAGGGGCAGCACCGCGCGAGGAGGCATCGGCTGCCGCTCCCGGCCGGTCCCCCAGGGCGGCCGCATGGCGCTGCTCAGCTCCCTGGCCCGGGGCCGGGCCCCCGCACACAGCCACAGATGGTCAGCGAGCAGCACGGTGAAGAAGAGCAGGGACGCCAGGGACAGTCGCCATCGCTGCGCCCGCTCAGAGTCAGCGCAAGGTTTGTCGCTCGGCCTGGGAGCCCAGCAGCAGCAGCAGCAGCAGATAGTCAGCGCGGCGGCGTCTTTCCCGGGCCACATCCAAGCGCCCCTGAACATATTTCAGGGGGGTCCGGGCTGGAGGGATCAGGCAGGCGCGAGGCCGGACGGCCGTCACGGGCGGGCGAGCGGGCTGCGCGCCGCTCCGCGCTCCTCCGCGCCGTCCAGGCTCTACCTCGGGGGCTGCATGGTGAGGCAGGCAGGCCGGCCGGCCCGGGGCCCCGCTCAGGCCAGAGTCGCGGGGTGCTCTCGTGCCGTCCCCGCGCTCCTCCCGCGCTCCCTCGCTCGCAGCCCGGGCGCCGCCGCCCGGCCCGCTAGGCACTGCCCGGCGTCCCGGCGGGGGGCGGTGCGGGGCACTGGGGCGGTGGCGGCTGCGGCGGCGGCGCCGCACTCCTCATAGTGTCGGGCCCCTCAGCTGCCCTCGGCTCCGCGCCACTCCACTCCGCGCCGGCGGCCGCCCGGCTCGCACTCTGTTCTGGCCGTCTCGGCTCGGCGCAGCTCTGCGCCCCTCAGCGCCGCCGTGCGGGCCCGGCCACGGCGCTCCGCTCGCTCGCCCCGAGCCGCGCCGCTCCCGCCCGCCCGTCAGCCCGCCCGCCTGCTGCCTGCTCCGCGCCGCTCCCTGCCTCGCTCGCGCCCTCCTAGGCCCGCCGGCCGGCCCGCTGCCCGGCCCTTCGGGCTTCGCTCGCGCTCTGGCCGTTCGCCCGGGCCGGTCCCGGGCCGGCTCCGCTCCGGCTCCGCGCCTGCTGCTCCCGGAGTTCCGGCTCGGGCGGGCCACCTGGCTCCCGGCGGCGCCACAGGCGCCGGACGCCGACACGGGGCTTCACTTAGTGCGCCTCTCGCTTCCGTCTCCCGTTAGCACCGCTGTGGCGGCCGCCGAGCCACACGGCCCCGTGGCTCCCGCTGGCCATGCCCCCTCAGTCTGTCGCCATCTTCCGCTGTGCGGAGAACACCTTGAGAGCCCGTGTGCGAGTGTGTTTGGGGGGGAGCGGGGCGGAGAAAGAGGCACTGAGAGGAGGAGGGAGCGGGACTGGGGCCCCGACTGCGCCTGCGCCTCAGGACTCACCCCCCCCCCCTCGCCACCAGCCCCCGCCGGCCGCAGCCTGTGCTGTTTGGGGATGTTTCCAGTCCACCCCCAACTCCATTCACTTCAGCGCCTCCGTTCATCCGCCCGTTCCCCGCGTGCACACGCCACACGCTGAGTCCCAGGCCCCGGCGCTCTCCCTCCCCCGCCCACCTGGGAGCCCGCCTCCCTCCCCAGGGCGGCCGCTCACTCTCCCCCCCGCCAAGGGCTAGGGGACTTCTGAGGGTGATTCTTGGTGGCAGGAGGCAGGAGGCTTCTCCTTAGCGTCTCGCAGCCTCCCTGGGTCGCCTCCCCCGTCCCCGTGACTAGGCGATGCTGGAGCCGGCTGCGGATCGGACCAGTCCCGTGTCCCTAACTCAGCAGCCGCCCTCATTGCCCTGCCCGAGGCCAAGGCGGCTCCTGGTGCTGAAGGACAGCTCCCAGCTCGGCTGCCGCAGAGGACTGGGCTCGGAGAGCGCCTTGGAGGGCGGGGCAAGACGGTGGGCTACGGATGGGTAGTAGAGATAGGGTGTCGTTTCTGCCCTTAGTAAGATTTGCAGCAGCCTCTCCCCCCTTCCTAGCTTCCTGGCTCCCCCTACAGGCTGCTGAGAATAGCTGAGAGAGAGTTAGGGAAGCTGTGCCGCCCGGATGGAACCATGTGCTTGGGGCCCTCACAGAGTCACATGGCACTAGGAACTCAGACGTACAAACCTCCTGCCACGCCACTAACCTTGTTTGGATTCCACCAAATCTCAGACTGGTCCTGTTGTCTACTTCCTTTCCTCACTCCCTCCCACTCCCAGTAACTCCCCCATTCAAATATTTAATCAACCATCACCAGTAAAAATGTGTTAATATTAAGAAAAACAGCAATAAGGAAAATTGCCTTTATTGAGTGTATACTAGGTGCTAGGTTACTGCTCTGGGTGCCTTACACAAATTATTTCATCTAATCTTCACAACAATCTTATGAGGTAGGCACTATTGTTATCCTCATTTACATGTGAGGAAGCTGAGGTTTAGAGTGCTGAAGTTGCCTAAGGCCACAGAACTGGTAACTGATGAAGCCAAGGCAGTAACCCAGGCAGTCTGGCTCTAGAGCTCTCTTAACATTCCAGGAAAGCCCTGGAAAGATGAAGGGGTGGAAGACACAGTCCTGCCTTAAAGGAAATTGTAGTCTACGGGAGGAAAAGAAAGCAGGTAATTTGGCTAATGGGAGGATTCATGGGCTGGAGACTTGGGTTCAAGCAATAGTTCTACCACTGAACATAGCATGTGTCCTTGAGAGAGTCCTTTCTTCCTCTGAGTCTTGGTTTTCCCCTAACACGAGGGGATACCAAGGGTTAAATGAGATAGGTGGGGATCACTAGCACTACTCGGGGTGGGCTGGGGTGGGTGCATGAACAGTTTCTGGAAGAGTGAAAATTTGAGCTGGTTCTTAAAGAAATAGCAGGATTTGGGTGGGGGTGGGAAGGGAGTTCCACTTAAGAGGAATGCAGTTGAATGTTTCAGGGATGAGGAGGAGCCCTGTGTGATTCTGAAGCCACAAGTGTGACAGTTTGGCTGTATTGGTGGTGAAAGCTTGTGGGGAAGGGAGTAGAGGGATATGAGACAAGGAACAAAACTGTCAGGCATTTGGGAGGCCTTATTCATTCATTATGTTCCAAGTACTATGCTGGGGACCAGGTAGGAGACTGAAGGGGACTAGGTAGGCATGGCTCCACCCTTGAGACACTCACAGTTGAATTAGGGATGCAGACATTTTTTAAATTAAAAAAAAATTTTTTTAAAGATTTTATTTATTAATTTGACACAGAGAGAGAGACAGCGAGAGAGGGAACACAAGCAGGGGGAGCGTGAGAGGGAGAAGCAAGCTTCCCACTGAGCAGGGAGCCCGATGCGGGGCTCGATCCCAGGACCCTGGAATCATGACCTGAGCCGAAGGCAGACGCTTAATGACTGAGCCACCCAGGCGCCCTGGGATGCAGACATTTTATTATTTTTTTAAATTATTTTTTTAAGATTTTATTTATTTATTTGACAGAGAGAGAGACAGCGAGAGAGGGAACACAAGCAGGGGGAGTGGAAGAGGGAGAAGCAGGCTTCCCGCTGAGCAGGGAGCCTGATGGGGGGCTCGATCCCAGGACCCTGGGATCATGACCTGAGCCGAAGGCAGACGCTTAATGACTGAGCCACCCAGGCGCCCGGATGCAGACATTTTAAAGAAGAAATTGCAACCCTGTGCAATAAGGATAAATATGAGTGGGAGGAAGGAGAGGTTTTCCTCCCGTAAGGGAAAGGACTGATCAACTCTGCCGGCTTCCCTCAGAGACAACTTTGCACACAGCCACATGAGTTGGGGGCATTCATTCATTCATTTGGTAAACACCTTTTGAAGATCGGTTATGTTCCAGATGCTGTACTAGGCATCAGAGATATGGGCATGAGTAAAATATGTTTTGGGCTGAAGGAGTTCAGCTGAAGTCTTAGGGATGAGTAAGAATTGGCTAGACAGATAGGAGAGAAGGTGGTGTGTGAAGGATGTCCCAGGCAGAGGGAATGTCATGTGTAACGGCCCAGGAGCAAAGCCAAGAATGGCATGTTCAGAAACCTGCAAAGTAGTTCATTGTGAATAGGTGTGAAATAGGAGCACTGCCAAAGATGAGGCTGAGGATTTGGCAGGAGCCAAGTCATGAAGGGCCCTGGGTGTTGTGCTAAGTAGTTTGGACTTTATCCCAGGGGTACTAAGAGCCACAGAAGAGGCTGAAAGGTTTTCAGCAGGAGGTGACACAATCAGATTTGTATTTTTAGAAGATTCATTTGGCGGCAGGATGGAGATTGGGTAGGGGCAGGGGGAGACTTGAGGCAGGGAAACTGGTTAGGAGACTGGTTAGTAGTTCATATGAGAGGTGTTAAAGGCTAAACAAAGCAGCAGTAGGGGTAAAGAGAAGAAATACACATGGGAGGGAAATGACAGGTAGAATTAAAAGGACCTAGGGCTGGCCTAGATGCAAGGAATAAAGTAGAGCCTGAAGGAAGATGAAACCAAAGGGTTCGAGTCAGTGACATTGGCATGACTGCCCCTGCCTCCCTAGGAACTGTCTTTCCAGAGCCATTCTTTGTTTAGCCCTTGGAGGGTTCAGTGTTCTGTTTAACAAAGAAGGCTAATCGCTTACAGATACC